CTGTTCCGTCCCATTCCCGCTCCCCGTTCCCGCTCCGTGGGCGCTCAGGGCAGCTCCAAGGCAAGTTCCCGCTCCCCGTTCTGTCCCGTTCCGTTTTCGCTCCCCGTTCCCGCTCCGTAGGGCGCTCAGGGCAGCTCAAAGGCGAGTTCCCGCTCCCCGTTCCGTCCCGTTCCCATTCCCATTCTGTCCCGTTCCTGCTCAGGGCAGCTCCAAGGCAAGTTCCCGATCCCTGTTCCGTCCCGCTCCCCGTTCCGTCCTGTTCCCGCTCCCCGTTCCTGCTCCATGGGCACTCAGGGCAGCTCCAAGGCCAGTTCCCGCTCCCCGCTCCCCGCTCCGTCCCGTTCCCGCTCCCCGTTCCATCCCGTTCCCGTCGGCAGTTCCAAGGCAAGTTCCCGTTCCGTCCCGTTCCCGCTCAGGGCAGCTCCAAGGCGAGTTCCCGATCCCCGTTCCTGCTCCCCATTCTGTCCCATTCCCATTCCGACGCTCAGAGAAGCTCGAAGGCGAGGGTGAGTTCCCAATCCGTGTTCTGTTCCCGCTCCCCATTCCGTCCCGTTCTGTCACCGCTCAGGGCAGCTCCAAGGTGAGCTCCAGATCCCCATTCCCGTTCCATTCCCGCTCGGCGCTCATGGCAGCTCCAAGATGAGTTCCCAATCCCCGTTCCGTCCCGTTCCGTCGGCACTCAGGGCAGCTCCAAGCCCAGTTCCCGCTCCCTGTTCCCATTCCCGCTCCGTTCCCGCTCAGGGGAGCTCCAAGGCGAGTTCCCGATCCCCATTCCCGTTGCCGCTCCGTGCTCAGGGCAGCTCCAAGGCGAGTTCCCATTCCCCATTCCTGTTGCCGCTCAGGGCAGCTCCAAGGCGAGTTCCCCATCCCCGTTCTGTCCCATTCCCGCTCAGGGCAGCTCCAAGGCGAGTTCCCGTTCCCGCTCAGTGCTCAGGGAAGCTCCAAGGCGAGTTCCTGCTCTCCATTCCGTCCCGTTCCTGCTCCCCGTCCCCTTCCCGCTCCCCGTCCCGTCCCGCTCCCCGTTCCTGCTCCCCATTCCCGCTCAGGGCAGCTCGAAGGCGAAGGCGATGAGGTCGGCGCAGCGCAGCAGCGCGTGGCCC